CTTACTCTAAATAATTTACATTTTCTCTAATCTTCATTTTAGGAGTTATAAAACTTTAGTGAAATCATGTGCAATAAGATAAAGGTGACTTCAGCATGCTTGCACTAGAGTGAGGTAGTGCTAGTGAACTACCTCATGCTGTTATTTGGTTCATGAAAACTAATAGCCTTGAGAAATTTAATTTAGAAAGCTGCACATTTTGAGTAATATATAGGCTACTTGACATGTGGGTTATTATTCAATCGAGAGATTTTATATGAAAATTTTAAATTAAATGCTACTGGCAGTTGCTAAAGATTATATTTTTAATTATTCTATTTTTCACCCAGTGTCTCTCCTTTTGCCATTGACATTTTAGGTTGCTGACAGAATATTCCTTTAGCTCAAATTTATATTACAATTCTAGGTGATACAGACACACAGTAGGCACTCAGTAAAGGCTTGTTGTTAAGTAAATGACCTTCTTTACCATGCTTACTTTGTGGGTTGCTGCTGAGATTATTTTGGCTTCTACTTCACTTTTTCAAGTATACAAGGGGTTTTACTGCACTTCTCAGCCTCAGTGTGATTAATGTGATTTCTAACCATGTTCCAATTGGTGCTATCAAATATCTAGGGTCTGAAACTAGAGTTGTTGATTGAGTATGCTCATGTCCCCTCTGACTGAGGCCAGACAGAAAAAATAGACCCTCTTAACAGGGCTTAAAGTTTCTGATTGAAGATACCTTGTACTGAACATGAAGGCACAGGATGTGTTACATGAGTTTAAGCAAGTACTTGTTTATGCCCACGTTTTAACTTCAGTTAAAGTTTTGTATCGAAATAGAGAGATAGACATAAAATCGTAAAATCCTTCAAGTGTCTGCCATATTTTAAGTTCTCTTTGTAATATGGGCATTTTTTATGAATTTGACTATCTCCGTGCAATGATTTCTTTGGGATTTCTAAAGGCTCAATTTTGTTTTTGGAATAATTAGCCACAATCATATTTGAATTTATTTTAGGAGTCAGTGGTATATGGCACAGATGAAAATGTTGCGGATTAGGTCCAACATTTTGTGTTTTGTGTAAAAGAATGCAAAGCTAACTTTAAAAAAATTACTTATTTTTATTTTTTATGCTATTATATTTCCCACCTTTTCTCCCTTTCCTCATGTTCACCCCTCCCTAAGTTAATCCCCATGTTGTTATCCATGTCCATGGGTTGTGCATAAAGGTTCTTTGGGTAATCCCTTCACAGTCTTTCTCCTTTTCAGCAGCTTTCAGTCTGTTTCACGTATCTAAGCTTCTGTTACTCTTTCATTCATTAGTTTATTGTGTTCATTTGATTGCACATATAAGTGAGATCATGTGGTATTTGTTTTTCACTGACTGGCCTAATTCACTGAGCATAATATTCTCCAGGTCCATCCATGCTGTTGCAAAATGTTAAGAGTTTCTTCTTTTTTTACTGCTGCACAGTATTCCATTGTGTAAATGTACCACAGCTTTTTTATCCACTCATATGATGGGCACTTAGGCTGTTCCCAAATCATGTGCTGTTGTAAATAGCACTATTATAAACATAGGGGTGCATATGCTTTTTTGTATTGGTATGTTGAGATCTTAGAATATATTCCCAGAAGTGGAATTGCTGGATTGAAAGGGAGTTCCATTTTTAATTTTTAAAGGATACTCCATATTTTCCACAATGGCTACACCAATCTGCATTCCCACCAACAGTGCACTAGGGTTCCCTTTTCTCCACATTCTCTCCAACACTTGTTGTTTGTTGATTTATTGATGATAGCCATTCTGCTGGTGTAGGGTGATATCTCATAAAAGTTTTAATTTACATTTCTGTGATCATTATATGTTTTGATCATGAAGGTGTGGACTGTGACTAGGTAAACCAATGATGAAGTCTTAGGAAAAGAATCTACATCGTACTTTATTGAATCATGTTTGTCATATCTCTATGTGAGAGAGAAAGTTATATCCCTCAGATCTTCTATAGTGAAAATGGTCAGCAGAAACTGGAGAGACAGACACATTTATCAAGGTAGTGTGCACAAGCACTCATTTAACTGTCATTAATACATGTGTTTTTAAACAGCTCTGTAAGTGCGATAGAGAATGAAGTCACATCCATTCACTTAAAATATACTGTTCTCTTTATAGCAAGTGGCAGCACTCTTATTAACATGCATACAGGAATGTCATGCATATTTTTATGTTTTGAAATTATTTTTAACTCCTTGTGACTGTCTGTTATTCTAAGTTGATCAGATCATTTTTTTAATTCCTGTATTTAAAGGTGTTAATTTTTTTCTAAATTTTGTGTTGTTTGAGAACTTATGGCAGTTAACCTCAATTCTAGCATCAAATCTGATGAAAATATTCTGTAACATTTGTTGTGGGTCTCTCCAAATTGTTGCCACACTGCTGATTATTGCATTTTGTACACTGTTCCTTGCAGAGTATGCAGGTTTTTGACAGGGGTGTATCCAAACCATTTATTCCACCCTTAGATTGTTGACAGAAGTATTTTCAGTAGTAAAATTAAAATTATTACTAATTACTAGATAGTAAACCAGGATTCTTCTCTAGGTCTCCAAAGCCTTTCCTGTCTTACAGGAAATAAAGTTAGGGAAGGCATTCTTTCATTTATCAGTTATCCAGCGAATATTTATGAGTGTGTGAATGCGGTTGAGGGCCGCACAGCGGTGAAAGGCAGGATGCAGTCTCTGCCGTCGGAGGCAGTGTGGAATAACAGGAAGAGCACGAATTGTGAGTCCTGGCGCTTGAATTCCAGGTCCAGTGCAATCGTGAACTAGCTGCATAATTTTGGTAGATGTATACTTCCCAAGACTCTGGTTCCCTTATTTATAAAATTAGTAATCACACCAGCTCTAGCATTTTATTATCTTGCAACTTGTTTTTTCTGATTTTGACCTCTGAAAATTATTTTAAAAGCATGTAGTCATTTTATAATTTGATTATTTCATTTACTCTTTGACACTGAAGTACTGAAGATCCCATTCTTCTCTTCCAACATCATACACATGTGTGCATGCGCACACATGCACACGTGCCTATTTTGAAGATGTGTAGTGCTTACCTTAAGGGCAAAATTTGGCCCTACTCTGTAAATATGTTCAGAAAACAATATAACACAGATACTGAAGGCAGCTTGTTTTTAACTTGTAGCTAAACATGACATTCAAATGTTAATTGGATGAATAAATCTTGTTCATTTTACAGACGTGGAAATGTCAATGGAATAAAACTATTTATCACAAGATAATGGTTGCCTGCCGCCAGATAAATGCCAAGATGAAGATACTTATTGAAAATGTATCAAAATATTCTATTGCTATTTACTGAAAATAAAGGTTGAGGAAAAGTTCAACTTTTCAGGTCAAACATGAGAAATGCTCTGCCTACGGTATTAGTGTGTTACTATATCAGACTCGATGTGCGTGGTGTAGAAACATGGGGAACTGCTAAGAAATAATGGTCTACAAAGGAACCTTTCAGCTTTGCAGCATGAGCATCACCAGAATAGTGCAGTGGGGGCTGGGGGAGACTCCTAATATTTATTTAGCTCTTATTAGGTATCTGACACAGTCCTAAGTGTGTTCGCTAATATAAGCCTCATGAGAAAGAGATTTGGAAAGAATTACTGCCCTCATTTTACAGGGGCAGTTAAGAGCTAAATAACTTGCACTCACATAGAGAATAAGTGTGAACACTAGGGTGCAAATTCAGCCCGGACTCCCAATCTCCCTCTTACCCACCACATCTCTGGTTATATGCTGTAAGTCTGAATTCAATGCATTTTAGTTTTAAGGGTTTCTGGTAGATTATTACTCCAAGTTTTGTTGCATTTGGTAACCAAATACTTATTTATATGTAATGATTTAATACATCAATGAATTTTCTTTAAACGATATTGTCCCCTTGTCTGAGGAAAACAGCACACCCTCACGCGTGAGTCTTGAGGACCTGATGGCTCTGAAAGGTCAGCACCGAAGGCCAGCAGTTAGACTACTGCACAGGTCCTTCTAGCAGTGTGCAGTGACAAGTCTTTACATGAACTTCCTGCTTTTTTTTCTGAACTTAGACATCCGTTTTTCCATTTTACTTATCATCTGCCATAGTGACCTTCATAAAATACATTTATTTGAGTGGTTAAGAATATAGATGAATAATTGAAGCTGTTTAAACAAAGAAAAGAGGAATTACTGTTCACTACAGTTTCTACTAATCTCTTCACACCTGTCCCTTCTCAGGTCCCTTCACCCCTAACATCACTCTGTCCACCAACACTGCCACCAACACTGGTGCTTATGTCCCCCTCCTCTGGACTGTCAGAGAACTGCAGTTTTCCTCTGGCAGCAACCACTTGCTTTCTACCCACTATTTTAGTTATTGACAGACTATTGATACACTTGCCATAGTTTCCCTAGTAATAAGGCAGGCTTCTTGCTAGGATAAATTGTGTGTTTTTCTTCTCTCTATTGATATGATATAGAGAGAATTATTCCTATGATATCCAACAGAGCAATGAGAACATTATAGATACTCAGCCAGTGAGAGTGAAAGAAGCATGTGCATGGTCTCTAATTTTAAGGACTGAAGGAAGTAGTAAGTCTTTGAGGTATCCATAGTGCACTCTTCTGAATATGGGAGCCTGTTTACCTGGTCCTTTACCTGTGCTTGTAGCTATTAGTTCTCTCTAAAACACGTTTGGATTTTACTGGTTTTGTAAAGTTCATAGAGGCATTGAATGAGCTGATAACTATTAGACAGTTACAAAGGAGAGAGACTTGAATATTTAAATATCCCTCAGGAACAAAATAGTAATTCATGTAGCACTCTTTTGATATGTAGACAGTATGTGGACAAGTAAGGATTTGTTTAAAAGTCATAATACCCTTCTGATATGTTTAGATAGACACGAAGCACCACTGCGTCACAGATTACTAACCGACAGTCTTTACCATGCACTTCCACAGATGGGAGACCTTTATCTCTGAAGGACATATGGGAAGGTGTCGGTGAGTGCTACAAGACACGGCTGCAGCAGGGGCCCTGGGACACTATTACCCAACAGGTTGGACAGTATTTGCATTTTATTATATGTGATCCTTTCCCTCTGCCCATTTTTTTCATCTAGTTCTCTTTTCCCTACTCTTTTTCCTACCTCAGTCTTCTACGTAAATACAAATTTCAATTCAAAGACAATTTCCTTAAAAGAAAAAACACCTTCCCAGATCCAGGCTTGGGTTAGCCTCACTGTTATCAACTCTCATAACAATCTGTAATTTTTTTCATAGTGCTTATCACATTTTAAATTATATATTTAGATATTGAAAAAAATTAATGTGTGTCCTCTACACTGTACTGTGTGCTGTCACGTGGACAGGCCCTGTCTGGTTTCCTTTTCATTGTACACCCAGCACCAGCACAGTTCTTAAAATATAGTAGTTGTTCAATAAAAGTGTATTAAATAAATAAGAATAGAGACTAACTTTGGCATATATGCTAAAAATAGGTGATTTAGCTGGTGTCACCTCTGATGTTTCAAAGTTTTACTTGTAGGAGTATTTGCAAAAAAAAATTAACTTTCGATTAATAAGAGCTTTGCATTAGTGACCTAGAAAAGCAGAGAAAATAGATCTGCAAGAGTAAATATAAAAAGTAGATTTGCAAAAGTAGAGAAAATAGATCTGTCAATCATATATGTCATTATTACTGCCTTGCTAAAATCAGCAGTTAATTATTTTAGAAATTTAAAAATACTCATCACCTTGCAACCAATTATGGTTTCTTTAAATATAATTTTTACTCATATCAAAATCTTATTTTTCCAAAGCTCTGTTAAGCTTAATCAAAGCTTCCTTTAAAAATGACTTTATTAACCATTAGCATTTTTATGCCTCCTATGTGTTTGATCATAATAGTGACAGTTTATCTCCCAATCATCATAAGAATCCTCAGCCTTTTGTAAGTAGTTCTTTGACATTGATTACAAATGACCATTTTCTAGATTTTAATTGAGGACAAAACTAAATTTAAGTGTATGTGCTTTTCACATTGCCCCTCAAATTAATTTTTTCCTTTTCCATCCCTCTTTGACTCTCCTCGATTAAACCATATGGCCTCACCTGAAACAATCAGCCTCCTGTGTCTGGTCCTCTGCTCCTTTCCTCCCTGCCTTTTACCATTAGTCACATCTTTACTATTGCTGCTTTTATCTTACTCATGTGCAGACCTGCATAAGATCTCGAAGGGCCTATGGCATGTGGTCTAAATGCCTGAGCTGGCTTTCAGTGGCTGTCCCTTCCTGGGTGCCAAACATGGCCATTCATTTCCCTGAGCCTATCTTGTGCATTTTGTTTTTGGAGTTTTTTCCAGGTTTAATACCGTCCCTATTGACTTCGTTCTGTCTTTATATTTTCTCCTCTTGTTTTCTGCCATGTTTTTTTTCTCTGAAACCCACTCAGCTCAGAAGAGCGCCCCCACTTTGAAATCCTAATTATGTAGAATAGGCACGGGGTAGTTGCTATGGTAAAGGATAATGAGATATATAAGCAAATCAGGTGTAAAAGATTTTTGGCAAGAGCATTTTATTTTACACAAAATGTTCTAGATTGACCTTTAAGTGTGTCAAGGTGAGTGCTAAGAGTTTCAATTTCCAATGTGTTGTCATCGACCACAAGCCATCCAAAAATGTACACTGCAACATCAGAACCCACAGGACCCAGAAAATGTTTGGTTGTAAGAGTGAAGGAGGATGGCAAAGGATAGAGGGAGACAGCACCTAAAAATACATATTTTTTAACTTTAGTGTCTTTTTTCTCAGCTCCTCCTCAGTTATGTTTGCCATTGTCTGCCTGAGCCTAATTCTTATCCTTTTCCTTGTTTGTCTCTAGCAGATCTATTACTAATCTCCTCACTGCAAGCCTATAGCACAATTGCTGGCAGTCTATGTCATGAGTTTTAGTTCCACACGTCTCTGTTCTGACTCATGTCATATGAACAAGACTTAACTCTCTTTCCTTAGTTTCCTAATATGATGTTATGAGTAGATTTCATTCAATTAGTAGAATTCCTGAGTCACTAAACCAATCAAATGCACCAGGCTGTATCTTACTTGTTATTCATGGAATTGATTAATATATTTCAATTTATAGGTACTTAATTGTCATATTGATAGACTATTAGTATAACATTTTTCCTACCTATTATAGCATAATAATAATAATAACTATCAAATCAGATTACAATAAATATTACTATTCCTAACACCAATTGTGGACCCACTTAATAGGAGAGACATTTGATATAACCAAATTACAACACAAATATAACACTTAGATGTTCTTTTGGGATTTGTCTTACAGGGATTGATTTGTGAACAGCTCTCTTACTTTGGATAACAAACTTTATTTAAGCTTTAGAATTGCTTATCACAGTGTATGTATAGGCACTAAAGACCTAGCAAGAGAAACACATTTGTTCTCATTGTATTACGTGGCATTTGAAAGTCATCATGAATATTTCCTTTGAGGTCTTGGCTTTTAATCCCAGGTTGACTAATGGGTTGGTACTTATGTGCTCTTCTTTGCTTGAGATCTTTGAGAGGATGGGTCTTAATTTTTGTAAGGCTGCATGTGGGGGAAAAACAGTGGGATGAAGTGGGGAGTACGATGCAGCGCAAGGGAGGAATGTGCTGATAGAATACAGGGAGGGGCAAAAGGAGGTTGACAATTGTGAATACACAAAACAGTATATTCTTGTGTTATTATTTATTAACTATTGTATTATTTTTTGTATGAACAACTGTAAACCTACTTTTGCCCTACCCTGTATTGGTGGCACCAAATATTAATAGATAACCATATTGCAGAATTATACTAAAGGACCATTAGCTTTACAGACTGAACATGATAATAATATCCTGTCCTCCAGAGAGGCTTAAAAACAAAAGCAGCCTTTGCATAATATAAAATGCATTTCAGTTCATTTTCAGGCTTGATTGTGCTTTTATAGTTTTTTTGCTCTTCATCTTTAGTAATCACACTTCTGTTCTCTCAGCATTTGTCTTGATGATAAGGACCTGCTCATGTCAGACACGAACCCTCTCCTTTGAAGGCAAGCACTCATGAATCTCATACATTTGATTATGGTGATTACTTATCTGCTTTTGTCCAACATTACAGACTATCTAGTATCTCAACCCTGTAGCCTAATAAAGAACTTCCACAAGAAAGTTAACTGATATCTAGGTGGGATCTGCCTGAATTGGTAGAGTGAATATTTCAATAATGATCAGTGGAAGGTGTGGGCTCTATGGTTGAGGTAAAGAGCTCCTGTGGTCTTGGCACTGTCTATAGTCATTAAACTAAAAACGCATACTTGTAACTTTACTTGAAGATAATTGTGCTTATGTATGTGGGTGTGTAGTGGTCAGATAACTATTTTTTTCTTACTGTTCTCTTTTTATAAACATATACAAAAGTAGAGATGATAGTATAGTATACTTACAAACTCTTGGCTGGTATTATTTATTATTATTATTATTATTGGTGGCAGCAGTAGTAGTAAAAATGTGGAATTTTTTTGGAAGCAAATCCTAGACATCATATTATCTCACCCATAAATATTTAAGGAGAGACCTTTAAGAGGTAAGGGTCTGCACAAATGTTTGTAGTGGCTTTATTCATCATAGCCCATGGAAACAACCCAGACGTCCTTGCAAGGTGGACGGTTAAACTGACTGTCGTAGATCTTTACTATGGAATATTACTCAGCTCTGCAAAGGAACCAACTATGGATACACTCAACAACCTAGATGAATCTCTGGGTTATTGTGCTGAGTGTGAAAGACCAGTTCCAAAAGACTGCGCAGTGTATGGTTCCATTTATTTAACTTTTTTGAAAGGACAACTATAGATTGGAAAACAGATATGTGGTTGCTAGGGGATTAGAGGGGGAGTGACAATGGGAGGGAAATGGGGAAGGGGAAGGGGAATGTGTCTGACTCTAGCACTGTCAGAACCTTGGCTGGAATACTGTACTGTAGATTTGCAAGATCTTACCATTGGGGGAACTGGGTAAAGGGCAGGAGGGATCTCTTTGGATTATTTTTTTACAACTGTATGTGAATCTACTGTTATCTAAACATAAAAAGTTTAATTTTTAAAAAATGTAAGGACTCAAAAGTATAACCACAATTCTATTATCACAACTAAAATTTTAAATTTCTTAATACATTTAAATAGCAATTGATATTTAATTTTTCCCAAGTGTTTCATTTTTTAATACTTTCTTTGATAAGGATCCAAATAATCTTTATACATTAAAATGATTAACATCTCTTAAGACATTTTGAATCTAAGATTCTCATTTCTCTCTCTCCCTCTCTCTCTCTCTCTTTTTTTTTTTTGCATGCAGTTTCTTGTTGAGAAACAAGGTTGTTTGTCCTAAAGTATTTCAGTCTGGATTTTTTTCTAATTATATCTCTGTGGTGTTGTTTAGTGTTTCTCCTGGTATTTTGTATAAACTGTAGTTAGATCTTGAGGCTTGACTAGATTCAGGTTTGGCTTTTAGGCAAGAATCCTCTCTAGGTTCTGGGTACTTCCATCAGGAGGCACATGAAGTCTGGTTATTGCTCCTTTTTTGTGATGTTAGCAGCCATTAATGATTACTACCCAGATTCATTAGTCCATTAGGGGGTGCAGAATGGCAGCTTCCTAGTTTTATCATTCATTATTTATCAGCTGGACTACTTCAATAACGACACATTTTCCCTCACAGCTCAGTTACCTGAGGCATGCTTTACATAGAAAAGGCAGGATAAGTACTTGATTCTTTCTCTTTATAGTTTAGCTTTCAAGACGAGTTGATTTTCAGCATCCTCCAATGGTGACCAAGAACTTTTTTTATGTATCTTTATGAAGTCATGGATATATTGTAAATGTTTTATGCTGTTCAATTCATTGTAGTCATTATCTTCATTGATGCTTGATTTGCCTTATCTTTGGCCAGTGAAAGTCTCTTTAACTTGGCTCCTCAGCTATTTTGATACCCCTCAAGTAGCTTTGATGG